AGCTTAAGTAGCTGTCTCGAGGGAATACAAATTAAGAAGGAACCCCTTTTTAATTTGGCCTGAATTTATACACAGGCTTAAGTAAGATTATTTTTGAGGGATATTTTGTCACAGCTGTAGTTTAGATGAGGCTCAGATAGGTCCCTGCCCATTCTCTGTCACTGCATCAGCTGCTTCCAGCCACTTTTCCTGACCTCCGTGGCAGTTTCTGTCCAGTCCTGCTGCATCTTTTGTAGCTTTCTCTTCTCTAGTTCAAATACTGAGTTTCCTTCATTGCTTGAAGCTCTCTGGACATGACTTGTCTACCTTAGTGCAGTATGCATTTTTTAGAAATTCTTTTTAATAGGACAATGAGAGATTTAAGAGCCATATTAGGGCCTAATGGAAATCAGTGAGAAAGTATTTGTGCTCATTGCAGTGGGAACAGGCTCTTGCCTTAGGTAAAGTGCTAGTAATATGCATGCCCCACTCTAAGAAGTGGTTTCCTTGCAGTCGTGGATTGTAGTGGATTACCACACTAAGTAATAGAACACATTTAATTTATGTTAGTAGAAACACCACTGAAATCCGACAGTGCTGATAAGCGTGAACAAGCCTCCAATGTGTCTGAAGCCAGAAGCCATAGGAATTGACACGGATGGGGTGCCAGCTTGAAGCTTACACCTCTCATCTGTTGACCAGTGAATCCCAAGGAGGAAACGAATTTTCCTCTGCTTCACTTTCAGATTGATAAAAGGTACTTACTGCCTAACCTTTCAGAAACTTTCTTCTTAAGGAAATCTCTGGTATTCCACATGACTAAAAATAGGTATCTCATTTAGAGTAACAGTTTGCCTGCTGAGAGTTTTGATTATGCTTCATTGTGCTCCTTCACTAGATAGAGTTGTGCTTTGTGACGGGCCTGGCTTGCATATGGAAGAAAGCAGCAGATTCAAATTGCAGAATATTTAATACAGTACTTACAGTCCCTGTTTTGCGATAAACATTTTGCCTAGCTGAGGACTGTAGCACAGAGACAAACAAGAGAAGCTGACAGATTGGTGAATGATGGGTGGGATCATTTGTCAGGAGACGTGATGAATCACTGTGGTGCAGCATTTCATTTTCAGAAAGATCATTTTCTGAAAAAATCAAATTGAAGGCAGAAGAGACAACTGGGGGTGTTTTGTGAGTTTTCATTTAAATCAAATATACAATTAGAATATTCAATATACATATTGAAAAGTTCCTGCTGTTTTAAAAATATTTTGAAGAAAAAACAAAGTTGAGGTTAGCAGGAAACACAGTGACCTGGAGGAGCATTTGCCAGCTATGCTCCACAAATAGGTGTTGAGTTTTACTTACCCCTCTCTGGTCAAAGCTAGTGGGAATCATATGTCTAGAGCTTCAAGCAGTGCTTCAATTAGGGGAATAATATCCATCTTATAACCTTGTACACAGGTTATTCAAGCAGAAGTCAATGTGCTTTTAATGGAACTGCACGTAGACACTGAACTCCTCGCAGCGTGAATGAGAGTAGTGGTCACATTTAATATCATCTGTGCTCTTAGAAGTCCATGGCTACTTCTACATCAAGACTGATTAATTCACGCGAGATAGCACAGTAATAAAAAAGGCTCTATGTAACTGGCTAGAAGCAGGGGAGACACAAACGGTGGGAGGTGCATGCTGGTACCTCAGCTGCAGACTCAAGTAACAGGAGACCAGAGGCCAACACCTGCTTCCCCTTTCTCCTGCTGCCAAAGGGCTGCAGGCTTGGTTGGCTGTACAGGGCTATTTCTAGGTGATGATAAAGACCTTTTTGACCCTAGCATAAACACACAGGAGCATGTGAATGCTTTAAGGAGTAACTCTGTAAAAAAGAAGTTTTAAATCAGTTGCTCTTCAGAGAATAGCATTCCTCGGTGCATTTACAGCACACTTTTGGTTAGAAGATCAGTTAGAAACTTTAGTAAAGGAGAACTATATAAAATCCTACTTTTACAATCACTCCAATAAATACAAAGCTCTGTGTGTGTGCACATGTGAGATTTCCAGATACCTTCCCTAGTCAGTGGACATGAAATAAAAAAGCAAATAAATCTGGCGATACTGTTTCACAGGTTCTCTATGCCTCTTCCAAATTTGCAGCCTGCGTAGAGATGAGAGAGATAAGGAAATGAGACACACACATGGTGTGGGATTATAAAAAGCTTACATGCTCTTCCAAGCAAGATTCAAACAGGCACTTTCTTTTTAAACCAACAAATAATAATGGGTCGTACAGTGTGCATGACTTGATGTTGAGGGACTTGACATTGAGGCATTTTGAAATAGCAGTGAGACAACTGGTCACATAGTGCCTGCTTTCTTGAGTAATGCTTTGTTGTTTACTCAGTTTCTGAAATATGGAAATCTGTTGCCAGTTGTGTTCCCAGTATAAAGATCTTGCACTCTTTGTGCAGGGGAAAGTGGTTAATTTTGCGAGGAAGCGAAGGCTTGCATATTGCTTGCTAGTGCATCTTCTCCAGGTAAAAGGAAGAGCAGGAGTGCTTGGTGAGGCAATCTCTTGAGACCATGTGTACTAACAAAACGTTGTTCCTGATCTTGAAGTACTTTATAATAATTTTGATTGTAAGTTACTAATTTATTAGGTAGTTATTATTATTGATCTCAAACAGGACATGAAGATTGGTTTGCAAAGCAAAATTTGAGTGAGGAAACGCAAACTTTTTTTTTTGCATCTTTTTTATAGCATGGCATTTGCCCTTCAGATAAGCATCGCTCTTTCATTTGACCTTATCTCCCTGGTTCCAGATTACTGGTGATATGAACTGTAGGCTGATTTATAGCTTTCTCTTTTTCCAGGGCAGATTTTCTCAAGGATGAGAAATTAATGTTCCAAATAGACTTTTCTCTTTTGTCTTCAAGGCAACAGATGTACTAGCTAGATATCTGTCTCCACCTGGCCTCGGCTATGCTGTTCCTCTTCACCTCTGTCCCTTTCTGAATAAGAACTAGTTTTTCAACAATTAATTTACCTCACTACCTCTCTAGGATACTAAGTAAATTTCAAAGTCTCTCTCAGACTAGCAACGCAACCGTGCCTTTCCATCCTAATTGATGACTCTGCCTGAGACCACAGCAGGTCCAATTGAGGCACAGGGAGCTGAGGGTTAGTGAAGAGCTGAAACCCAGTTCAATCTAATCCTTAATTGCATGCTGGGAATCCCACACACATGTAAGTTTATCATTTATTGCCTGTAATTTTCTCAACTAATTCTAAATTTAATGATAGCTTTCAGCTTTGGTTTTCTCTTCTAATTAACGTACTAGTGACTATGTATAATCGCTGCGTAAAGTCAAAAGCAGCTTACATGATAATTACAGTGGGAGAACAGCACTTACTGTTCAAGACAGTCATCCACAGGAAAGTGCTTGTGTGACTGTTAAGGTGCTGAGATGAAGTTGCACATCCTTCTTTTACTGTCCCAAGGCTATTTTATTAGTGTCTCAGCTTGATGGTGGTAAACTTTCAGGAAGGAAACAAAAGAATCAGAGAGACCAGGCACAACATACAGCAGAGACTTATTGCACACGATGAACTTTTGAGGTCTTAGTTTTTCGTGGAGTTATAATGTGGAGTAACTTTACATTTACTCCATAATAATTATGATGTAATGTGTTAGAAATTCCTCTTTTACACTGTGGAAGATGCTTTGCATCCACTTTTGTTTCCAGGAGCAAATGAAAACACTTCTGACGGAACAAAGCAGAAGGAAATTCCAAGTGTATGGTAGAAGCAGAATACCTTTGTTCCCTCTGTTAACTCAAAATTAGCATTGGTTACTTCATTTCAGACCCTCCTCAGCTGGAATGACTAGTGTCAGGGGGGCAATCACTAGAGAATACACCGTGTCTGTCTGTTGTCCAGTATGGAAGAGACTGTCCCCATGAAGCAAGCTGTAAATTTAAGTTCGGTTTTCTTTTTGACTGTTGCAGCAGAAGAATCTCAGAGCGGCACTGTATTTTGCAGTCAGATTTATAGCAGATTGGTAGAGAAGAAAATGATGAACACACCACTAACATCGACAAGCGTGCAGGGGAGGGGGGCACATACAAGCATATTTGAGCAGCACTATTCAGTGCTTTTCATTTACAACAGAAAAACAGTGAATATCCCTTTATTATTTACTTCCTTTTTTGTGTTTGCTAGATTCTGTGGAAATGTGTATGTATGGTGAGACTGGGAGAGAGGCACTTGCAGTCATTTTGGGTGCTATCAGGTGGTGACCAGTGGATCCAACAATAGCCTGCTTTACCAGCAGAGACCCTCAACAAGAAAGCAGCATCTTCAATTGCAAAAGCCTCTAAAGCAGAGCTTTGTATTTTCATTAAATCAACAAAAATGCATTTATTTAAGCACAGCTCCATTTCGTAACTAAATTCTTAAATTCTGTCTGTCCTGAATTTTGGATAGCTCATTCTGTGCTGCTTCAATATAACTATGTCCATCCTGCTGTAAGAAGTGGAGTACCCTGGCTGATACAATGAACACAATTCAGAGCATCAGTACAGTGTTAATGCTGCTGTTGATCTCCCAGGAAGCATGTGGAAGATGCTGATGGGTACTTGGTTGCAATTAAAGATATTAAGCTGAAAGGAAATGCTGTGGGTAGATGAATGTTTTCATATATATGCCTCATTTGAAAAATGAGTGATTAAACTGAATCCAGTCTCTCTGTAGAACTTTGGTGGGTAAGTGAGAAGGGATAAGAGAGGTCTGTGATGGAAAATATGAACATTAACTCAGAACAAGAAGTCCTCGTGTTCTTTACAAAATGCAGATACCTGTAATAGATACCAGCTGTACTGGAGAAAGACTTTAGGAAATGTCGGTTAACTTTTTATTCATTTCAGTATAGGACTGTTGCTCAACATCTACCTGTTCCATGCACTTTGATTCTGAAATGTGATACTCGGCAAATTCTGAGTTTTGTATCTTTTGTTGTTGGTTTTAGATTGACAAGTATGCTCAGCGGGATCTGAAGAAAGGGCTTCATTTGTATGGGACAGATGGAAATATTGGCCTAACTAATGCATGGAGCATCATTCAAACAGATGTAAGTCTGAGATTTTTTGTTTGTTTTTTTCTTCCTCCTGGGTTCTGTAACTGCATGTTCTGGGTGTGAACCTAATTAAACCTCCAGATCGTAAGCCAATCTCTTCCTCCCACCCAGTCAGCACATAAGGAACTAAATTCTCTGGGTTTTGTAACAAATGGTAATTTTTATTTATTTCTCCTTCGACCAGGATAGCTTATTCCTTTTAAAAATTTATGTTCTGTTGATGCCTAAATATCATATAGGTCTGTGCTGTGTAGAGTGTGAAGGAGATGGTCAGACAGGAAACAAACAGTACCTTCTCTTTAAAGTCAAAGTGGCAGCTTAGGTTGGAATGAAGAGCAGTAGCGTAAGAACCAAGAACCACTTCAAGAGATTTTCATTTCTGTCCTGTCTCCTTTTGTTGCTATTGTTGGTTTCCACTAGTATAGTCAAAATAGAAACCAGCCATGGTGTGCTTACTAATCGCTCCTGCAGTCAGTACACTTCTCCCAGTAGAATTCAGTCATCCAAACCACTGGAACAGGCTGCCCAGAGAGGTTGTGGAGTCTCCTTCTCTGGAGATACTCAAAACCCACCTGGACCTAGTCCTGTGCAACCTGCTGTAGGTGAACCTTCTTTAGCAGGGGGTTTGGACTAGATGATCTCCAGACGTCCCTTCCAACCCCTACCATTCTGTGATTCTGTGATCCTCCATCGCAGATCGGCTGGGAATGCTTTTTGCTATGTTGCGACCACTGTTGCATCCTTCTGATTCTGCCAGTGTTGGTCTCGTAAGGACTGGTGATCACTGTAGCTGGCTTCCTGCTTTTATCCTCATCTGGCTTGCTGAGGAAACACCATCACTGACAGTTCAGGGTTTTCAGCTCTGTCCTCTTTTCATATTCAGTTCAATCAGTTCTCTTGGGGATGATCTTTTGATACGATTTTCTCTGCTTCTTGAATGAGGAAAAGTGTTCCAACTTCTGCTTTAGGAAGAAGCACTTGTACTGCCTTGGCTTCACTCAAAAAATCTTGTGTAGCTTTCTCAAACTCTCCTCTAGAGGTGCTAGCGTGATACAGACAGGCAGGGCTTGGTCTTGTCTCAGCCGAAAATGTCTTAAATCAGCCAAAGATGATAACCTCTCCAAGTGCTTCCAAGGTTGTATGAACTATTTGAGATGATGAATGGCCTACCTACAACATTCGGATATGATAAAGCCGCTCATTTACCCTTTACTTCTTCTATTGCCATTTGGGCTGAAATCCTGGACATCTTTCAGTCTGGTAGTGTCAAGATTCACATATACTATTCTGTACGACAGAAGAGAACAGGAGCAGCAGGTTGCTAAGAAGAGGTCTGAGAAATTAAAAATTTGGGGTCACTAACAGAACAAAAGAACTGGTGGGCCAAACTCCATGTGCACCTTTGGGCTGTAGGAGCTGTCTGTATCGAGTGCAGTAGGTTGACAGCAACAGTAGTGTGTGTGAAAGACAAACAGCTCAGGTCCAGCAAACAAGCTATTGAGCTTTCCAGTCCTGCATCCTAACAACTGCACGTGGAAGATTCCTTTGGTTACCTTTAAAAGGCCTCAGTGTCTTCCAATATTGTTAATATTTTTCTCTTCCAGTACTATGATGAAATCATGAGAAGGCATCAATTAGTGCAAGAGAAATGCATTTTGCAGTGCTAGCCCAAGAGTAAGCCATGTGAAATGTAGATAGAATTTTAGTATCATTGTTTATATCAAACAGTATTAGAAGTTTTACTCTTTTACACTAACTTAAGTCTGCTTAGTAAAAATGTAGTAAAAATTACTAATATGAAGATGTTTGCAGTAAATATTAGTCTGGTTTCAGTGACACCCCAAGAACTGTTAAAAGCATATAGCAAAGGCGGGGGAAAAAGCATTATTTGGAGGACTTGTGAGATATAAATCCCATGCTTCTGCTCCCCTTTCTGTAAAATATTTGTAACAACATATACTATGTCTAGTTTACCTAGTCACATTTTTTCATGATGTTCATAAGCTGAATTGGATTCCGAAGAGATGTAAAAGAATAATGAGAATTTTTGATATTTAAATTATGATGAGAAATTTTAAAAGCTTTATATAACCAGGAAAAGATGAAGTAGTGATGTGATTGCAGTTCTTAAAAAGAGAGCTGGAAGGGAAAAGCGTTTTGAAGGAAAAGGGCTCTGTAATTGATCCAAGAGCTAAAACCTCAAGATACAGATATCTGATGGTAGGATGCCATTGTACGGCTGGATGGTGGATTCTTTTTCTCTAAAGTCAAGACAGGGTTTTGTTGTCTAAAAGAAATGGTCTTGTTCAGTGACAAGCTTGGGTTTGAGGCAGGATTCAATAGTCTGTGGTCTGTGTAGTGCTACACATAGTGCTCGGTTGTCTTAATGATTCCTTTGGCTTTGAAACCTATTTAAAGGGCATCTTACGAGTTTCAGATGAGACTGCTGTTAGCTAGGTCTTAGGATCCCAAAAGGTAATAGGGAAGTGCCATCTCACAAGCCATGTACAGCCATGTTACAATCACTCTGTTTTCTAACATGGCAACTATGAAATTACCATGTGGTGTCTTGACACTACCATAGTGTTAAAGTCTCCATGCTCCCTGTGCTGGGCACTGAGGAGGAAAGCAAAGAGCTCCCAGGGATCCGTTTTTACCACTCTGCATAATTGGTTTTCACATGTATCTTTCAAAACTATTTAGGAATAGAGTACTGCAGCGGTGCAGAGCAGGCAATCCTAGCATGGTTAATTATGTAAAACACTTTGCAGTTGAATAGCACTATGTAAATGCCAAGTATTATTTTTTGTGTTCAGTAATAATCGTTATCCCTTACATCCCTAATCAGTAGAGTGTTAATCATTGATAGGAGGATTAAGGCAATACAGAGGACTTTCTGAAAGGAAAGTCCCAGCCCAGTCTTGCTGTTTGTATTCTGGCTTCTAAGAGACAGGACTCAAAAAACTCCCACGTCAGAACTAACCACGTTGCCATATAGGACAGTGTCTCAGCACTGACTTCTCTGATGGGGCCAGCAGACATCAGTCATTGGTTGAGCTGTGGACCGTGTCCGTACATGGATGGAAAACAGCAGCCTCACAAGAAAGCATGACATGTGAAAAACATGATAGCAGCAGACATCGTAGTGAGCCCTTCTCCCTTGTCCTCTCTGCATTCACACTCCTTTCTTTGCAAAAGTATTGGTCAGAGCTTGAGCAGCAGGATGGCGCTGTGGTTAAAGTAGTAGGCTCAGACATGAGGGACCTGCTGTGGCATCGTTCTTCATTGCTCCTACTATTAGCTTAGACAGAGACCATCCCCACCCTGAGTTCACTAAGTACAACTGTGTATGGCAACTTTTGCTTAAAGAAGAGGAAAAAAATGTTTTCCAGAAACAGAACCACATTTAGATGACATTTCATTTCTGTTGGACCGGCTGATCACAAATCAGAGGGGAGTTTTAACTGGGAGTATGGATACCCAGTGCGCGCACAGTCACTTGTGAGTGTTGATTACTGTATTTCTTCTTCAAGTGTGAAAGGCCTGAGCACCTTTTTTGAGAGGCTTTCTTCTCTGAAGCCTTTGTGCCTTGAGAAATGGTTTTCCTCTTTTTAACAGAAGCATACAATTCCTAAGTAAGTGAGAACAAGGCAAAAATGGGGTCCGTCAGGCCTGTCTTTAAGGAGCAAGTTGTGGTTTTTGTCTGCAAGTGATCTGCTCAGGTTACCGATAAAGGAGTTGGGTTGAGATGCACGCATTCAACGCCAGTGAGAGGAAAAGCACTAGACTTGATTTGCAGTCATATTAAGCTTCTAGGTCAGGGAGCTGTTTCAAATTAGAACCTTTGATTGATTTCTTTTTAATACCTTCAGCTAACAGAACTCACAGTCTTTCTCAATGGCGTTTCAAACCTTAACAGGATCAGAAGCACAAGCAGGTGACGTTTGCATGTCATGACTGAAGACTATGAAAGCATACAAAGTGATTTTAAACATGACTAAAATTCTAATGGTTTAGGATGTAAGTTACCCTGAACTGCCTTACACTCCTACCAACCAGGACTGGTTAAAGTTACAGGTGGAGATCATTAGGAAATGAGAAATGGGCATTAATTTTTAAAATGTTACTTCATCCCCAACGTCTTTGTGATCAATATTTGAACACTTCTCCTTTTAACTAACCAGGCAGTAACTCAAGAGGCATGCAGAAAACGTATTAGCTTCACTAAAGTGAGCAAATTCAGCTCACTTTTACTGCTGTGTAATGCCTTTCATGTCTATTTAGACTGCTGTAACTGAGAACAAAATTTGACCCATCTCCATCTACCCCCCAGTCATTGATCCTGTTAGATCACACCATACTTTATGATTACTGCTGAAGTAATCCAAACCACCCATTAAACATGATTTTAGAATAAAACTATCTTATTCACCACTTTTTACAGTGATGGAGGAAAAAGGTGTATAAAAGGCACCCTACCCTGTTCCTAGTTCTCTGTCACACTCAAAAAACTGGAAATCCAGGGATTGCTAAAACCTGTCTGCAGTAAGGATTGGATGTCTGTTTATTTTCATGAACCCTCTTCCAGCCTGGCTGATTTTGCAGGAATTTGGCAAAGAATATAAGTTCTACTTAGCCTTCAATACTGGGACTGCCTGTAAAGTACACACAAGAATCCAGCTCCTTACATTTCTGTTATGCTAACATAGAAACTTTGTTTAACATTCATTACCAGCCTGAGATACCTCATGCTCAAACAGCAATTACTTGTTAACACAAAAATAAGGCAGCGTTGCATTCCATAAATACAGCGCAGAGACCTCGGTGCTGTTCGGTGCTGTTTGGCTGGCAAAAGCACTCCTCAGGAGCACAACCTTTGACTGCATCGTCATGTTGAGCAGCCCCTGCAAGTCCTGAGCTCTTTGGAAGTGACGAGCCACTTCAGAACCCCACGGGTAATCAATAGGGGAGTGATACATGTCACTAACAAAAGAGGGGAAAAGTGTGTTTTGTCATCTGGGGAGACAGAGCCTCCCACGTGAAACATGTGAAACAAACAGCAGCATATTGTCAGTATTCCTGGAACTGTTCAACAGCAGGAACTTAGATACTCAGAGGCATTTGACAAGCTTTTGCTTGTTTGAGTGACTCTACCAAGCACTGTACGAGTGTCCCCAGAATTGCTACCTGGTTGTCACCTTATGCAGTAAGTTCCCGCATTTGTTCATGTGGACAGGCACAGCTGCATCTAATCATTCATGCTCCTTCACAGCTGCAAGCCCTGGAGTCAAGTGACCTGAGGTGTCCAAGTCAAGGTGTATTAAAGTCACTGCTATTCAAGACAGTAACTGACATTTTCTAGAGATTACCCTCTTTTAAAGTGTGTTAGTGTGGGTACCCCAAAATAATTACTATCAGTTTGTAATTATTTCTAAAAAACATATTGTTCCCTGTTGAAACCAGGAACAGAACTAATCAAGTAGGCAACCTTGTCTAATTTTATCACTTAACTACAACAACAGGACTGTAAATGTGACCACAAAATGAACGTGGTTGTAGCAAGAATCAAGTCTGCAATTCCTTCACGACAGTCAGGCAGTTTAACTGTCTGGCATTGGCAGAACATCAGCCTTTGTGGAAGAACATGAAGTCTGGTGTAACTGGCTACAATAAACTGCTGGTGACAAAAATTATCTTTCATGTGACCTGAGATTGCTCCTTCCTTCGTGTGTGGGACTGTCTCCAACTATCCTTGCTCAGAAACCTTGTAAATTTTAAAAAGAGAAAATTGCTCTCAAATCTAAGAGGACCTATTTTGCTCTTTGTCCTCGATATTCATCTTACTTCTAATAGTCCCTCATCTTCGTCAAAGATTTGGCTACCTATCATTCAGCTTCGTGTACACAGGATGAATCAGTTGCTTGTCATATGATCCAAAATCACTCCCCCACTCTCTCTTGTCTACTTGGGCCTCCATAATGAGGTCTCTGAATTTACTGAGCTCTCGGCTTATCCGTCTTTTTGGCTGCTAGCTGGATCCCTTTACTGAATCTATGCTGGTGACCCATTCAACCCCACTGCTGCTTGTTTTGTTGTTCTTGCCTCTGACCTGTGCCATGGGTCAGTGCCTTTGCTCCCTAGAGATGCTGACTGGTCTGCATTGAACACTGCTCCCTCACTTGCTCATGCGCTTTCTGGTCTCTGTGGTGTTAGTACTCTTCTGCGTTTGTTACCTCCTCTCCTTTAGGATTGCATATCATCATCCGCTCCTTAATTCCATCACTCCTCCTTCCTTTGTCTTCCAAAGACATGACATCTCCTCCAGTTATAGTTCCAGACATTGTTTCTTCCAGTCTCAAGACTATTGCTCCTCATGCTCCTCATTCTCTCTTACCCTTGATCTTTTCTTAGCCCTTTCTCCCATTGATTGCTGGGATTCTCTATGATTGCTGGGACCGCCTTATCTGCCAGCAATGGCAGGCAAGCATCAATATTTAATCCTCTGCTCTTGTACACTACACGGAGGATCTGCATGGGCAGGCAGTGTGTGTCCAACCACAGCTTGTCTTTGCAACTGCATCCCCTCCTATTTCCACCTTCTGCCTTACCAAGAAGTTTTACTCTTTGGGGTCCCAACCCTAGACCACGGCCCAGCCGCCTTCTGCTCCACAGGCTCCATAGGAACAGCTGTGCTCAACACTGTTAGTGAGCCCTCAACTACCAAACCTGTACTGCATCTTCATCTCCTTAGTCTGTCAGACTTCAACACCCTCAGCCATGCAATATTATGGGGAGAAGGGGTCTAGTCCCAATTTATGCAAACTTGTGTCACTTCTGTTTGGCCAGAACGTCACTCAAATCTCTCAGCCCTTACTGTTGCACTCCCTACATCACAGCTGAGCTACATTTTCAAGGCTTGCTATTTACAAGCTGTCACTTCTCACTGTCTGTCAAAGAGCTGCCTCCTGACTCTAATGATGACAGCCTGCAAGACCTTCTTGTCAGATTTTCAGATAAGCCAGCCTTCCTCAAATGCACGCCATGCGTTCCATGCCGCTCCTGTCCACTTTTGGGACCTGTTATGCATGGAGCTCCTGCCTTGTGTGCAGGAACATAGACCAAAAAAAAGTCACAAACTTTTTAAACTTTCAACTCAGTTTGTAGAAAATGAAGCCTGTAAACTCACAAATCAAACGGTTGCAAGCTAAGAATTGATTCCTGACACGGACCAAATCAGAATTCTGAGCAGAACCTTGGGGGAAGATGTTAGTCTGGGAAAGATTTCTGACTTTTGCTTGGCAGAAGAAAAACAGTGCTGTGAGCACTGAAACGTCTCTATTGCGGACTACTTTCTGCAAGTGCTTGAAGCAAAACATGATGTGCGAGGCAACGCATGACACCTCTGCCCTCTATTGGTCTTGAATGGCAGATCTTGTGTGTGCAACAAGACCTGGACACTCACCCCCCCGTGCCCATAGGCTCTACAACTATTATATATGTATATATACAGGGAAAACTCGCCCTCGGGCCAGTGTAAACATCGGGATCTGAATTAGCGCCTGAGTCCTGGTGATGCACGTCTGCATGATTATAAGTCATTTAGAAACAAGAGGAATGGTCTCTACAGGGATGTGAAAAATACTGTAGAGGCTTATATAAAATCCCAGTTAAAAAGTAAGATCCTGGCAAGTCATTTTGGGGCTAAATAGGTGGCTGGCATAGCCTTGAAAAAGTGTGAAGTACTGCCAATAGCAGAGAGCAGTTCTGCAGCCTAGTGTCGTCTTGCTCATTAGTGGTAAGTGTATAAATACCAACAAATCCATACTTTTGAGTTAGCATAGGAGTGACAGATGGTGTATACATCTATATGGTAATGAGTCTTAGCTTATTTTGTATCACAAGAATATACCAGGTCCCAGAGGGGAAGATGGTCACGGAGCCATTCCTTGTACTGTTAGAGACATTTCCTAAACCTTTCATCCCGCTACCAACGTCAAACAAACCTTCTGATTTAGCTTAACGTAGTCATTGTACACTGTGTCGTTGTATGCAGACACTTAAAGCACCACTGTGATGACATTAAGGAACTGCACCAAAGAGAGAAGAGGAGGAAACACATCTTTTACTTACAAAGACTTTCAAAGGTGATCAGTAATTAACAGCTTAGAGAGAAATTTGTCTCATTAACTTCAATCATGAAGTAGTGTGCCATAGAGATCCCAGTATCCTCATCTCCTGGGTGCTGTATCTGTATCTCAAATAATTTTTTTATTGACAACAAGCTGCAAACGATTGTTATAATCCTGCTCAGTCACATCAACTCTTAACATCAGTACTTGGCTGGGGTTGTCCTGTTTCACCTCCTGCAGTGTCTTGCCACTGCCAGTAGGTACCTTTGCTTCTTGTATCATGCCAGACCATATTTAAACATATAAAAGAGTGGGGGGGGAAGGATCTATTTGGGTAAAGCTGAGGAAATACTATATTTCTTTAAAATTTCAAGCCTCTGCTGGTGTAATCAAAATGCACTGAATGTCCAGCTCTAGGAGGGAGAAGTCACAGTGAGCAGAAGTGAGTGGAAGATCTATATTACGGTATCATCTTGGTTCTTGTTTTTCCAGTTCAGATGCTGTGGAGTCTCCAACTACACTGATTGGTTTGAAGTGTACAATACAACCCGGGTGCCGGACTCCTGCTGCTTAGAATTCAGCGAGAACTGTGGACTCCACTCCCCAGGGACCTGGTGGAAAGCGGTGAGTAGCTCTCCAGCAGCAGCTCAGCAGCTGCCTTGCAACCCTGGAAAAGGGCAGACAGCTAGTCATGTGCAGGGCTATACAGATGGAAAGGTATGCTGTACCCTTACTCATCTGTAATCAGAAGGTTTCAGAAGGCTCATATTGAGCTGTGGCTTTTGACCTCCAATGAAACTGCCAATTTAATTATTTTTATGAGCTGAAGGCTTTCCTTTCAGTGGGCTCTGAGCTGTTGTTTCACATTGCAGATGAGTACCTTCCAACATTGATCTGGAGCACACTCTAGCTAGATCTAGCTAGGAAATGACAGGATTGTCCTTTTTTAATGTCCCACCTGCTGGAGTCAGGTAGAGATAAAAGGCACATGGCTCATTCACACACATAGCACAAGCCCTGGAGCAGCAGCCATAGCTTATCATGGCCCAGGCGGTCGTGAGGCAGGAGGGCTGCGTGAGCCTGGAATGCTCTGCTCCTGCCAGGAACACTAGTTCAGGGGCTTCCACTGCACACCAGGGAGAGTGAGAACTGTTCCACTGAATTGCCAGCATTTTCTTAGCAATGAGTTTCTGCACTTGCCTGTGATCAAATTCAAAACTCCATGGGACAATTTACCTACAATGTCCTCAGCAAGACCTTTCTAGAGCAGATAGTCAGAGCCTAAATTCTTCTCTGAAATTAGCTCAGCAATTCTTTGTGCTAATTACAGGTGTAATTAGTTACAGGTGTAGCTCCCAGAAAGGAGAGAGGATTCCTGCCCTCCGCACCCCAGCCAATCCCCATTGATAAACTGAGCATGACATCTATGCTATGGAATATTTCCACTGGCCACCTTGGGGCTGCTGCCTGGCTATGCTCCCGCCCAGCTCCTGCACCCCTGCTCATTAGTTGATTATGAGAAACTGGTAAAAAGTCCTTGATTTCATAGCAACAACTGAAAACATCAGTGTTATCAACATTCTTCTGGTACTAAATCCAAAACAGAGCAGCTACTGAGAGGAAAATTAACTCTATCCCAGCCAAAACCAGGACGACAGGTAGTGTGTAGAGTGGTGTGGATTAAGGCCAGCTGATGAAGTGGAATTACAAGGAAGTTTTGCTGGTTCTAATGGTTTGTGAAGACAATGAGTAAAGCTCTCTTGGCCGTTTCCTAGTGAGACTGGCACTGGCAGAGGCTGAGTTCCAACCAAACCTGGCTCCCTTCTACCTCTGAAGTAGCTTCAAGTTAAATTTTGAATTTAAGGACTTAAAAGTTCTTCGTACCAAAAAGATCAGTGCAGGTTAACACCATGTCTTCTGGTGGGCATTAATAGTTTTTCCTTTATACATATGTGTAAGCCACTAACTGAAGACAAAATGATTCTTGGCCATGGTCATTTACAAGAAAGAGGGCACAATTTTTGCATATTATTTAAAGAAATGTTTTACTTGGGCCAATTCCACCCTCCCCAAAACTGGGCCAGAAACATGAGGTTACAGCTACTGCAGAATTTAAAGCAGGAAGAAAATAATGGAGGAGACCCCATACTACAATTTGAAATGATGGAAAATGGTGTGAAATGGGCCCTTGAGCAGCAGAAGTGGCTACTGAGCAGCTCTCACTGGAACTTTTGGGTTTGATATACATATATATATTATAATAAATACTTGCTTTCCTGAAACATGGAGAAAATGATAGGCTCATTCTTAAGTTCTGCTTCTAGTTGTTTTTTAGAGGGCAAAGAGGACCTAAATCCACTGCTTGTTTATTTTTAGTTACTGGCCCAATTTATATGGAGGAGTGCTCATGCAGCATTTTGGACGGTGCTTTTTCATGCCGTTCCAATTAGTACTCCATGTTCAAGCTTCAACCTAGAAATACACTATAATTGCACCAATGCTAAAATCATAATCCAGGCTACCTAGCAGCTTAGTCTGATCTGGCTCTTTGCTGTCTGTATATTCCCTGGGAAGCAGAGCTGTACATTTATGGCTAATACAATATTCTGGGTGTTTTTTTTTTCCAGCCTTGCTACGAAACAGTGAAAATATGGCTCCAGGAAAACTTATTAGCTTTTTGCCAGCCGTGCTACGAAACAGTGAAAATATGGCTCCAGGAAAACTTATTAGCAGTGGGAATCGTTGGATTGTGCACAGCTATGGTGCAGGTACAGTTTAATATCAAATTTCAAATCCTAATGAACTGTAACTAAGTAACCACAGATCCAGATATACTCTGTCCAAGCCTGTTTTAGTAATTCCAAATTTTGCATCATGTTAGAGTAAAACTCTGCAAGATTCAGTTCTTCTGTGTTTTAATTTAGTTAAAATACTATGTATAAGCTACAGAACTAGGAATACTGCACACATTTTCTGTTTTATGATGCAGGCACTTTACCAAGTGGTTTATCTAAGGCTTAGACTAGAGTCAGTGGAGAGGTAGTCCCCACCCTCCAAAGACAGAAGTCTAGTCAGGGTAGGGTGAATTGCCTTTTAGCGTACCTGTATTTGTGCTGTTATTCTCCAGAAAGGACTGTCCACTTAGGTGAAATATCTAACTTCAAGATAGCCTAAAAGGTAGCTTAAGTCTTCAACCCCACCCTCAGTCCTAGGGTAAGTTGGGATGTTGTTACCGCTGCTCAACCTTGCCAATAAAACCGCGCTCCTTTCCTGAATTTAGGTAGGTAAGACTGGCACAGACTTGCCTACCAGATTTTGACCTGCAGCTGTTTCCAGCACAACTTTGGTCAGAGAAGAATCAGTCGTAAGTGTAGTACCTTGTCTCTTACTCTTACCTTGGCTTTAATCCAGCTTGTGGCCATAGTATAGCCTCAGTGGCACAAACCTTAGCCTGAGGATACATGGTGAAAGCTGTGCTGGAGCTCAGGCCGTTTCAGCTGTATGTCAGCCCTCCATTTATGGCCCAAAGTCCCATTCCTGAACGCAGTGAAGATGGAGCTTTACTTTCCAGCTCCACCTCTCTCTTGCATTCCACATAAAAGCAGAAAGGATGGAATCGCTGAGCTAATTAATACCATGTAACTCCAGATTAACCCATGGGTTTTTTTCAATTTTGCATGGTATAGCACTAGCAGCAGCAAGAGAGAGACTGGGATCAGAAGTCCACTCACACTCCCACTATTGTCAGCTGGCATGTATCTTTCTCTCGTGTCATGTCTTGGCTGCAACTTACTAATGCAAATGCCTGACTCCTTGTAGGCCCAAATTCAGTAGAGCTTTTGTTTCAGTAGAGTTTTTGTTTTCCAGTATAGTAAGCAGATATGCTTAGGGGAAAAAAGATAAGCACAAGAAGATCATATGGCAGAGAGACAACATAAGACTGTTGCTAATATATTACCATATTGTAAAAAAACAGCTTTTCGGCATCTATTTAACCTTTAGGGAGTCTTTAAAAGATACATTAAAAACCAAGCAGCCCATGTCAGAGTCCTCCTCATAGACCTTGATCGTATTTTAGGGTATTTAAGAGAATACTATCTTTCTGACAAAAAGAAAGCAGTAGTTTGTATGGAAGAAAACAATTCAGACAATTTAAAAATGCTAACTAATATTACTAGTAAATGCGGTGAAGTACAGAGAAAACACCTGCGAACACAAGAGATTTTTAGTCTGTCTTCCAGCTGGATTATGTGATTGAATCTAACTGATGATGGAAGCGCTAATGTGCTGTCACCTAAAATGAATTGGGCTCCCTCTACTGTTGCTGTTACAGTGTTGTTCTTGCACTAAGCGTGACAGTTTTTTTCATGTTAACAATCTTATAGTTAGAATCATACAGTGACACAACTCGAAGGACATACATGGCATGTGGCAGTAGAATCATTGTTCAGTCATGCGTGCTCGAAATTATATAACAAATTCAGCCACTGACGTTTTATTACGCAGCTGTCCCTGACTGTTCCTTTGCAAGGAAATAGAAGGCAGTGTTCAAGGGATACTTCCAAAAGGCATGTGCTTACCATGAAACAGCACACTGAAGCCTAACAATCATATTTCACTGTACAAGAATGGGAAATGACGATAAAAGCTTTATAACCACATTTTTTTCTTTATTTATAAAGTAGTATGTGTGTCACGTACTCTTTCAAAATACTCATTAAGGAGCTACTACTTACGTAAGGAGTAAATTTGAAGTAGTCAAATTAGGTGCTTAAAAGAGTATGCATACAAAAACTTCCTACCTGGCAAACCTTTATTTCAATGACAATTTTTACAGTGGTGTTGCAAAGGAATAGTAACAACCACTTAGTACATCCATGTAAGTACTTCAGCTGGAAGGAAAATAAGACTCTCTTCCCTATCCCCTTTTCTGATGAAGTAATCTACCAGAGGCAGCACAGCAGGTCAGTAGTTGGGCTGGGAGAAGAACCACCACCTCCCCGCTGCTTCTCTTGAGTCGGCTGAGTAGAAAGACACATACATTGTTGATGAGGCATTGATGGTTATGATTAATGCATGGACAGTCTCCAGCGATTCCCGCACAGGGACCTGTGCACACATACACTTGGAAAAGTAAAGTGCAGCAAAATAAACCACAACATCCTTTGGGTCAGGGATAAACCTGATCGTCTTTCAAAGCAATAACTACTGAGATAACCACACAGCCCCACAGCTGTGCGTTGCTACTAGAAAGCATTTTTGAGCAAAACACATCCAAACATTTGTTTTCAGTATACCTCTTCCCAGTATCTGGTGGCTGCTTTTCATGGAGAAATCAACTGTCCCGTGCTGTCACTGTTCATTCTGCAAAACAGCAATACAGATAAGGACAAAAGGCAGGCAGAAACTAGAAACAGAACAAGGACATGAGCCGGCAGGAAAAGCAGTATGTGATGTGTCTTCCTGTGTGTGAACAAAACAGTGTGAGCATGCTTTTGTCGCCTTTTTTTTTTTTGTTTTGGTTTCAATGAATGGGGGAGTGCTTACTGAAACACGATTGTTTGGTTTTTTTTCTCTTAGATTCTCGGACTCACCTTTGCAATGACCATGTACTGTCAGGTGGT